TCCTCGTCAAATAGTAACATATTGCACCCATATTGCAAAGTGTTGTGAATAATGTGAGCCGCACAACTGATTCCCATCAAATCTGGATTCACCTGTGATTTTAGTTTGTAGTAAACATTGTTTGCCCACCTTGTTACCACCAAAATTAGTATTAGTATTATCACTGCAGAATGAACTAATTTTCTTGAGATGTTCTTTTCGAGAGTGTTCCTTAAGAGCTGCACAACAATATCATCAGATGTTTCCCCATCTTCAGTTGTAAAATTCAATATTTTTGCCTTCATGCCTTCTAATGGAACGAAAAATATCATCACAATGGGGAACATCTTTACGTTTCCATGGTTAGATGCATCTGTAATTATACTGTGGTAAACAACCAATTGATTTTCGATGTATGGACCAAAGACATTGTTAACAATTGCCTCACATTTAGTAAAAGCTGACTGAAATTTGGTCAATCCAATCCAATCTGAGCAATCAGCTGAGCGAAAGTTTTCATTTTCGTTAATCATATGATACGCCCAAACACCTTCCCGAGCTGCTGTCTCTAAATTAATATTACTCGATGTTGCTGTTTATTTAAAATTAAGTCAATTTTTTGCTGCTTTCCGCAGAGCTAATACCTCTTTGGTGTTTTTCACTTTTGACGGGACTCACTACATCCGCTCTATCACTGTAGGCGATCGAAAATTCGGATCCACAACTATCAAATTTTACGTCACACTTACTTTTTTTTTTTCAAAAATGGGAATTATTTTTTCAATGTTTTATTAAAAGTGCAATAGCGTTTTCTCTTTTTACTTTCTTCTTCTGGTTCCATATTAACAATAGAATGGAATGAAAAATGTAAAGTCAACTAAACAATGCTTCGGACCTTTGTAGATGATCACTAATCTATTTGAGGCTTCAAACTGATTAGTGACATAAAATAAATGTTTACAAAAATGATATTGCAACGCAGCAGATTTAATCTTGGTTCAAAGTACGTAACGGTTTGGAAATGAATCATTTATTCTTCAAGAATATAGCGCGAATGAAATCAAGAAGTTTGTTTACCTACAATACATGAATTGCTATCTTTTCGGAAGAGGATAATTACAATTCAGAAACGAAAAAAAGTGCATAGTTAGTTGGTGACACTATGCATAATGAATTACTTTTACTATTCAAAAGTATATTTTTTGTTGGTACGGGTAGGAACTCCTTTTTGGATAGTCCTATCAGGGAAAGTGAATCAATCCCTGCCTTCCGCAGATTCCAGGTGTTTCCTGACCCGGGAAACTAGTACCTGCTAAGGGTCCCTTGTCCAGGGTCACGGATGAAGTCCACAACGGCATCCAGGGCGGAGAAGAAGGTCTTCACAACGATCTGGAGGACGGAAGTGGCAGCCCCCTGGTTTTAGGGCTTGTTTAAAATCGAAGGGTAGGTGAGACTCTCTAGCTGTAGTGGAAGCAACTCGCATAGGAGAAGGATACTCTGATGTAAAATCCCTGGCCCTCCAGGTTGGGGGTTGAGGCACCGGGCCAACTCCTCGGTACTCATAAAACACGTACAATGTTAAGAAGCCTAACCAAAGCCTCGGAACAAAAGATTGGAAACACAGTAGACGAAAACAGCAAAGAAAACGGTTAATGAATTTTTGTACATGGAATGTGCAAGGTATCTCCCGAAAAACACCAGAAATCATGTCAGAACTCAAAATGCAGAGATAGATATCGCGGTGCTTACAGAAACTAAAAAGAAGGGTATGGGTTCTGAAAAGTGGGGTCACTATGACCTGTTCTATAGTGGAGTAACTAAAGACCAAAGAGCACAACAAGGTGTTGCTATTGTTATTCGCAAAACTTTAAGAAGACATATTACCTATTGGAAGCAATTAATCAGAGATTGATAAAAATGAACATCACGATAAAAGGAAGCAGAATAGCCATACTAGGTGTATATGGAATTAATGAGGACGCATTGGTCAACAGTAAAGATGCTTAACAACAAAAACAGAAAACGATAAAACAATTTACAAAGAAGCACAAGCCAAAGTAAGAAAAAAGATAACTCAAAAAAGAACGAATCATGGGAACAGAACTGAGAAAAGATCAACACCTACATAGGAGGTAGAAGAAGCACAAAGATTGATTAAAAATATGAGAAATAATAAGAAAAAAGACGTTATATTACCAATAACAACAGAAAATGGGAAGAATATTTCAAAAAATTACTAACAGAACTAAGACCAGAATTTACTAACACGGAAGACGATAGGTATACTTATAAATTCATCACTATTACAAATAAGTAAATCAGAGATGGAAGAAATAACCAAATTCCTGAAAAATGGAAAATCCCCTGGTCCTGGTGACATCCCTGCAGAATTAGTGAAAGCCGGTACAGGCAAACTCCAGGAACAGTTAAGAAAACTCTTTCAAGACTGCTTGAATGGGGCCGAATTAGCAAAAGAATGAAAATGATCTATTATGTCAACTATCCACAAAAAGGTTAGCAAGGATCAGTGTGAAAATTACAGAGGAATTGCGGTAAACAGCACAATAAGTAGGATGTATGGGAAACTTATTAAGAATTTGCGCAAGTTATTGAGAAAAAAATAGCCGTCAATAAAGAAGTTCACCTGTTGTACGTAGACTTACAAAAAGCATATGACAGTGTACCCCTCAGTAAACTATGGTCAACCTTACAGCAAACCAACATTAAGCATGGTCTTATCAAAACAGTCCAAAGTCTGTATATTGGAACGACTGCAAAAATTAAAACTGGATCAAGGATATCTGAGGAATTTAAGGTCACGAAAGGACTAAAGCAGGGTTGCTGTATTTCAACCATCGAGCAAAAAGACAAAAGAGGGAATGTAAAGGTAGTGGGGGCAAAAATATTGTTAGACAGGAAGTGCGATCTTGAGAGGCCACTTTAAACAAGGAAAGAGAGTCTCTCTCCTTGTTTGACATCAAATTTAGTTGGGTTATGTTATTGTTTGTCCCAAATGTCACATTAAATCTTATTTATATTGAAGTTTTTTAACAATTGTGTCGCATTTTAGACTATTACCGTTAATAATTAATTAAAACTTTCTCGTCTAAGACACATTCTGAAAAATATTATATAGCTACTGTTAATAAGTGTCGGAAAATTTAAATTTGGCGCATTCGCATTTCCGGATATGTCCGCCATCAGAGGCCACTTTTTTGGTCTACTTTTCATAAGGATTAGATTCCCTCTTTTGTCTTTTTGCTCGATGATTTCAACCCTGCTACCCTTTTCAAAATTTATCTGGAACGAGCACTCAAGCTGTTGAAAAGAAAATGTAATGGCATCCCTCTCAATGACGAGACTACACTGTACACCTTATGTTTCGCTGATGACCAAATACTGATTGCTCAGGATCATGACGACTTGAGTTACATGACTCGAAAGCTAATAGAAGAATATAACAAATGGGGTCTTGAAGTCAACATTAAGAAAACTGAAGCCATGTGTATTGGAGGGACAAAACCATCGAGCAATAAGACAAAAGAGGGAATCTAACCGTTATGAAAAGGAGACCAAAAAAGTGGCCTTGATGGCGGACATATCCGGAAATGCAAATGCGCCAAATTTAAATTTCATGACACTTGACAATAATCATACAGTGGTGTAGGGGTTCTAATTTATCTATTTATTTATTTATATTACATAATATTTTATATTATATATTTATCTATTTATTTATTAAAATACTTTTTTTAACACTAGAACACAATTAAGTTTTAATTAATTAATAACGATAATAGTCTAAAATGTTAAAAAACTTCAATAGAAAATATAAATAAGCTTTCATGTGACAGTTTTGACAACATACATCACAATAACATAACCCAACTAAATTTGATTTCTTAAACAAGGAAAGAGATTCTCTTTCCTTGTTTAAAGTGGCCTCTCAAAATAGCACTTCCTGTCTATCAATATGTTTACCCCCACTACCTTTACATTCCCTCTTTTGTCTTATTGCTCGATGGACAAAACCCATTATATTAGACGATGGGGTAGAAATTAGAAACTGTGATGAATACAAATACCTGGGTATGAAGATAACTCAAGATGGAACACTCGATGCTGCTATAAAAGACAGAAACACACAGGGTAGAAAAGCCATTTCCATGATGAACGACATTCTGTGGGACCAAACAATATCTAAAGCAAACAAACAACTCATATACAACACCATACTTAAGAGTGTAATCACATATGGCAGTGAAGTTTGGCCAATGAAACAAAGAACAGAGAAACTGTTACTAGCAACAGAAATGGACTTCTGGAGAAGAGCAGCAGGCAAATCAAGAAGAGATCGGATACCAAATGAGAGAATACGAGAAATGATGGGAGTCAAGCATACAATAGTTGATGACATAAAAACAAAACAGTTAATATGGTACGGCCATGTACAGAGAATGCCAGATGACAGGATTCCAAAACAGATTTTGACGTGGACACCACAAGGGAGAAGGAAAAGAGGAAGACCGAGAAGAAGCTGGAGAGAGGGAATTGAAACAGAACTAGAGGAAAGAGAAATCCCTCCAGGCCTATGGTTGAATAGAGAAGAATGGCGGTTAGGAGTCGGAAGGCGTCGGAGAACGCTGTAAACCGATAGTAGTAGCAAAATATTTTTACACAAAAAATAGTTCTGCCCGTTACAGGGTTCATGTTTTTATTAATATTCCCGACAAATTTGAGGGACAGGATAAGTCTATTCTTATTACGATATTATTATTATAATAGATAAGTTATCACACAACTTGTTCTGCAAAATTCCGAATGCCACCCTTCACATCCAAATGTAGATTTTTTTCACAGATCCGCCCTGGTCTAAACTCCTAAAAATCGTTTAGAATTCTTTTCGATGCTTTTATTAAGACTTTAGTCAAAAATTGCGTTTTTTTTTGTCTCAAATCCCATTGGTCTGAGGCTCAATATAAACAAAAGGATAAGGAATTTATAAAAAAAAATCAATACAATTAGTCTCTAAAATATATTTGTATGGATATTCAAAGAACACTTTCTTCCTAAAATATTATTTGCACAGTAAAAGAAAATAAACTTATCTACACATCACAATAACTATTGTTAAAGATTATGTGTGGTGTTTATATGATCACAGCCTTTTTACTTCTTTGATAGGAGCTATTTGTCATTTTCTTTAGGTGTTTTTGTTCATACTGTACCCATGGTTGGTACGATCGTCTTATTATTTACTTGTTCGATAAAATGCCTAAAAATAAAATTAAAATACAATTAATCTGGTAGAAATTTAAATATAAATACAAAACTGAGCCAAAGTAGACATAGAGTCTACGTTGGCGGTGGGCAGGAGTGTTTAGCTGTTTTCTTCGATATATCTCACGCCTATGATACAATTTGGAGACAAGATATTTTAAATACCTTGCCACGCTGGTCAATTCAAGGAAACAACTTGCATTTTATCCGAAACTTTCTCCTGAAGCGACATTTCCAAGTTCGAATAGACAGCACTTATTCTGATATTAAAACCCAATCAAATGGTATTCCTCAAGGGTCCACTCTTAGTGTTACTTTATTTCTGATTGCAATCAATAATATTGCCAACTCACTTTCACCTCTAGTCAAAGCATTTGTGGACCACCTGGTCATCTACTCAAGAGGGAAAAATTGATCATCAATATCATATCACACATCAAGGAGCCATTAGCAAACTAGAATCCAATAAAACAAAAGCTATGCTTTTCAGTAAACGCTTTAGAGCTAGTTTAATCCCTCCAAACCTAGTGTTAAATATAAATTCTATTGAATATGTAAAATCTATTTATTTTCTTGGCATGAAATTAGATAATCGTTTAACTTAGAAAGAACACGTGCACTTTCTTCGACAATCTACACAAAATGGACTAAATCTGTTAAGAAGTATAGCTCACAAGCAATGGGGCGGGACTTTCAAACATTAATGACTTTATACAGATCCCTAATTCGCTCAAAACTTGATTATGGGGCAGTTGCGTACAACTCGGCAAAAACTTCAATACTAAAAATTCTCGATCCAGTTCATAACTCCGCAATTAGGATAGCATTGGGGGCACATTACACAAGCCCATTAAGAGCATGTGTTGTGAATCTGGGAGCCTTCCTGGGATGGCGGCAAATTCAACCATTCCTGTTTTCAGAAATACTTGCTGACAGATTTTCTCGACGTTTCAGTCAAGAAGAAGATTAGATCCACCATTCTATCATCGTATCAGCACAATTCTAAATAACCTAGACATCACTGTACCTTCTATATTCATACTTACAAATTCTGATAATCCTCCACCATGGACAATGTCTCTCCCAAAGTGTGATATCAGTCTTACATCATTTAAAAAATCTGATACTTTATCATACCGCTTTAAAACCAAAGCCTTAGAAGTTAAATAGTCATCAAAAGTCCATCACAAAATCGGAAAATGGAGTGAGTGGGTACTGCATTTGTAATAACCAGCGAAGAACGGCCATTTCAACTCCCTAAGCAATTCACTATATTCTTTGCTGAACCATCCTTCAGGCAAGACAATTCGTCAATGAAAATAACTTTGTTAATAGCCTAATAATTAGTGATTCATTGAGTTCATTATCCTCATTAAACAAAATTTTTACTAAACACTCATTTTAAGTTTAATTAAGTCGGAACTGATGATATGCCAAATCACTGAACTGTTCAGTTATTTTGGACCCCTTCACAAAGGAAATGAAAGCGCCGACAATGTTGCAAAACAAGCAATTGAGAAACCAATTCCATTGTAAATGTCTACTTGTCACCACCTTGATGTCAAATCATATTTTAAAAAGAAAATAATGAACAAATGGCAGGAAACATGGGATGTCTCAAATTCTAACCTTAGATCCATAAAACAAACTGTCCTCCATGGAGGCTACCTATGAAAAGAAGAGATCAAGTTATCATCTCCAGACTACGATTAGGACACACCAAGATCACACATAATTTCCTACTACAAAAGCAACACAAACCTTTGTGTTACCAAAGGTTTGTGTTAGTGACCAAAATCGTACCATACTTTTTTTGGTTTCCTTAGGACTAATCAACAAAATCTAATTGTATTCTTTGTTTTTTGTTTTATATTTATGTTATCTGCAAAATCGATCATTGCTAATAACCCTTGTAGTTGAAGCAGTTTCAAATAAAAAAAAAACAAAACAAAACTGGGCCATACTTACATGATATAAAACTTCATAAATGGATCTTGATACAGATAATAATGTTTGTAACCAAATTTCGCATCAAATTCATGGTAAACTGTGGTTATATTCCTGCTCTCTGCTATGTCAGCCAGCTAAAACAGTAAGAATCTTAATATATGGTAGATTAAACCTCCGTGTGATTGGTGGATGTAGGGGATTATCTAAAGGGCTATGATTTGACTCATGCATGCTATAATATATATTACCACGACTATACAAAACTCAAAGAGTTGTTGACAGTAATTTGTTTATCCCCTTGTTATAGATACCACTCTACAAACATGAGCAGTTCCAGGAAAGTGATTCACCGTCAAGCTCGAGAGAAATTATAATTATAAATTTATGCAAACCGAGAAAGAATGACAACATTTAACAATTGCTCCAAGCAATCTACAAGAGAGAGAGAGAGAGAGAGAGAGAGAGAGAGAGTAGTAGCTAAAGCTTGTGAAGTTGGTATCACTACTGTGAAAAGCATAATTCCTGAAACTAAGAACAAGTCAGCTGGTACTTCCTTTAAGTCACTAAGGAAAATCATAAACAAACCCTCAACTTCCAAGCAACCAGTTTGGGAATTCAGGAAATTTGGGGAAGAAATAATTAAAAGAAAAATTCTTTATTCTTTATTAGCAGTGTTGGCATGTTTTTATAATGTAGATGCTGTATGCTTCAAATATAAAAAGATAAAGCTTTAGAAAAGTACATTTTGTTTATATTATGTTATGAATTCTGCAATTTTTGATTTATATAAAACAAGAATGAGTAAATATTTGTTTCTTTGGAGATTAATCGCAGTTAATTATTAGAATTTTTTGGCAATTGCCCTTTGATAGATTAGGGGATATATTTGATAATCCTCAAAACAGCAGTTGCCAGATTGCAACAGATGTTTACAATGAACCACCGGAGTGATGACGTAGATTTTATTGACATCTATCAGTTTCACTTTCCAAACAAACCTTGTTTAGTGTGGATAATTTGTATTTTTCGTTATTTTTTAATTTTTTTTACAGAATCTTTCCGCTTTTTGCAATATCTAAGTATTCTAATAGTTACTACAACAATTTTACAAGGTTGTGTAAATAATAAAGCACATTGTTTTATGCTAATAGCAATAAAATGCATGTATCAATAAAGTAAGGTTAGAATTTCTTTAATTTAAACTTTTAAACTATATTTCATAGAAATAGAACTCTGAATTATGATGGTATTATCGTAAAAAACACTATACTTACAAGAAAAAGCAGCAGAGGAAGCAAAATGTTAACTTTATAGAAATTAAAAAGAGATTGGACATTTCAACTTTTGTTTGGAAAGTAATAATGTGACAATGTGACAGTCGTGACGTCACACTCCTGCTGTCCATTAATCTCGAAAGAGACAAATATTTACTCGTTATTGTTTCATATAAATAAAAAATTGTAGAATTCATAAAATAGTACAATCAAAATGTACTTTTTAAAACCTTTCTCTCTTTATATTTGTACAACATATGACATTACAAAAACATCCCAATACTGCCAAACTGAAATATTTTATTTCTTGGTTGACATTTGCGACTATATTCAGCTTGTACTTTCGGTAAAAACCCTTTATTTCTATACAGCTATTAATATGTAAAAGAATACTTACCACGAAAAGGATATTTGAAGCTGTTAAAAATGAAAAGGAAATTAATGTTACAGGAAAGATTAATTCTTTTAGAAATCTAAAAATGTGATTTCGGTGAAGAAAAGTAGGAAAAAATTGAAAGGAGTTGATTGAACATTTGTCAACACGTAAAGAAGATTGAAGAATATATGGAAATACACCACATTATGGATGAGGTGCAAGATTTAATAATCAATTTGATTCATCAGTTTGATTTAGTGGCATTAATTTTGTTTGGGTACCTAGCAATAATAATAATTATAATCGACATTTAATAAATAATAATTATAATCGACTTAAATTGACTATATAGAGGAGAAGAGACTATCCTGGTACGGCCACGTCAGAAGAGCGGACAGAGGACGTTGGATAAACAAAATTACAGAATGGAGCCCGATCGGAAGAAGAAAGGAAGACCCCGAAGGTCATTCAGAGACGAAATCGACGAGGCTATGGAGAAAAGAACCCTGCGAGATGGAGACTGGAATGACAGGGAAAATTGGAGAAAACGGTTGAGTGAAGGAAGACAGTGAAAACTGTGGAAATCCTTAGTAGTAGTAGTATAATGCCACTTAATCAAACAAACACTATATATCTTCACCGTACATTAATTGAATTTCTGAAAAAATGTCAAAAATGTTGTCAAAGTCATCAAAAACACTTGGAAAATATTTTTCAAAATTTAAACCCAAGCTTAATGTAGATCATCAATAAAACGTTACTTATAAAATAAATTGTAAAGACTGTAATTCAACAAATATTGGGCAAACACACAAATACCTGCATAGAAGGGTTGTTGCACACAATTTCACATTAAAAACGCAATAAATAGAAAGAAGAATCAATATTCAATAAACAGGTTTTAAATTGTACAATAAATAATTACAAAAACTTACCCTCCTTCCAAAGTAGTACGGTATTTCATTATCGTCTTGCGCGTGTAAAATCATCACAGGACAAGTTATTGTCTTCAGATGTTTAGTAGTGTTAAATACATATCCGTTGCGCATTAACGGTTCTACTACGACTGTATCGAACCACGGCAACCAGGCAAATAACTGGAATATAAAAATAAAAACTAATAATAAAAACTAATTAATTAATGAAAAAATTCTGAAAAAAGCATTTTAATGAAACTCGATAAATTGTGTTTTGTAACCAGAATTAAAATCAGTTTGGTTTATTTAAAATTTTATTTACTACTTTTACAATTGATTTCATTCAATCTAGACTAGATTATACAAGGTGAGTCATGAGGAACTTTACATACTTCTACCATACGTAGAGTCCCTCAGGGAGCCTATCATGTGGCCACTAAAAAATGTCAACTCCTCTTCTTTATTAATTAACAGGGTGATTTGTGTAATTGACCATTTATTTCATTTTACTGCAGTGTTTATACGGCTCATTTGATTTTTTTAATTTTTGCATGATACAGTACACTACTATCAAGCATTCGACTGGTATTAGCTAAACTAAAAAATTCCAGGACTGGCTTTGGAAAAATTAATTTAGGGATTCGTATTAAATATTACACCCTGTATATATATTTTTTTAAAATGCAATAAGTGATTTTCAAACTACATAAATAGCCAATGAAAACGACATATGCGACAATGTTGTCGCACTTTTATTAAATTTTTAGTGAACGATCAAATCTTACCAAAAATAGAACAACCATAATGAAGTATCAAATTATAAGGTAATTAATTTAAACAAATGTTATAAATTTCAAACATTTTAATTGAAATGATAAACTGAGTCACTGCACAACAAAAAACAGTAACTACTAACAATAACGAAGAACAATTAAAAAAAAAAACTAAAAATATGTACATAGTTATGATAAACCCATAAATTAGAACTGGAAAAGATACAATAATGGTAACAAAATAAAATAATTCAAAATAGATTTTCGAAATGGAACCCTGCAGCCTGTACACATTTTTGTTGCCGAATTGTTAATTGACGTATTGAATTACGGATACTCTGGGGATCGTTTCTAATAGTATTACAACAATGTATAATTCTATCAATTAATTGTTGTCGGTTATTAATATTCACTGCGTAAACTAGTTGCTTCAATCGTCCCCAAATATGGTAATCAACGGGATTGAAATCAGGGATCTTGAAGGCCACGAAATAGGACCTGCACGTCCTATCCACCTGTTGCCATAAACATTATTGAGATGTTGTCTCACTGCCAGTAAAAAGTGTGGGGGTGCCCCATCATGCTGAAAATACATCCCTCGGATAGCAACGTTCGCGTTGGCAAGCAAATTCGGCAAAATATTTTGTAGAAAGTTCAATAGACCTGCCCTGTTAAAGGACCATCAAAAAAGTGAGGACCTACTAATTGGTTATTTATGACACCAATCCACACGTTAACCGAAAACCTTAACTGAGAACGACGTTCTCGAATAGCATGGGGATTTTCTTCTGCCCACACATGTGAATTTCGTGAATTATTTATCCCGTCTCTGGTAAATTGGGCTTCATCTGTAAATAGTGTCCTGTATAGCGTTGGTCGATTATTGTTAATCCATCTACAAAATTCCAACCTATCGATCTCATCTCCAGCATGTAGTCGCTGAACCATTTGAATGTGATATGGGTATAGATTATTTTTTTGTAAGACTCTACTTACTTTTGATTGAGTAACATTGAGTTCTCGACTTACTTGTCTAGTGCTTATTGTAGGGTTCATAGTAACGGCGTCCATAATGTCATCTTCCTGCGCTTCATCTACATGTCGCTCTGTTGTTCCACTAGGAAAAGTGCCATTTTCTCGCAAATAATTAAAAACTGACCCAAATGTTGGATGACTGGGAGTTCGACGATTAGGAAATCTCCTGCGATATTCTCTACTAGCAGCCCTACCATTCCCATTACAGAATCCATAAACAAATATTATGTCTGCATATTCTGTGGTCGAAAACTGATGTGGCATTTTGAACGAAAGTAACAAAAGCTCTACCAAAACTAACACAATGTACTTAACGTAGATATGACAGAAGAAATATGTATTCTTGTACACATAAATAACAATTGATAATGACAATAATGACAATGGGTATAAAATATCAAGAAACGTCAAACGGTCAACGCCAACCTTCATTTTAAACTTTTTTAGATTTATTTTTATTTAGTACAGTTTGATGCAATGTATTATTATTTGACATAAAATTTTAATCATTTACAATCAACAAAAACTAACACATACAAGAGGTTTGACTTTTTAATCAATTTAATTTATTATTTATCGAAAATAATGCCCCAATACGATCTATGAGTAAAAATTTAAAATTGAAAAACAATTGATTCTATCGTAGAGATAATACAAAGTGACAGTAAAGATGTTAATTTTCTACGTATTAGATTATGTTGTAGGAACTCATTTTAATTAAAATGTTTGAAATTTATAACATTTGTTTAAATTAATACCTTATAATTTGATACTTCATTATGGTTGTTCTATTTTTGGTAAGATTTGATCGTTCACTAAAAATTTAATAAAAGTGCGACAACATTGTCGCATATGTCGTTTTCATTGGCTATTTATGTAGTTTGAAAATCACTTATTGCATTTTAAAAAAAATATATACAGGGTGTAATATTTAATACGAATCCCTAAATTAATTTTTCCAAAGCCAGTCCTGGAATTTTTTAGTTTAGCTAATACCAGTCGAATGCTTGATAGTAGTGTACTGTATCATGCAAAAATTAAAAAAAATCAAATGAGCCGTATAAACACTACAGTAAAATGAAATAAATGGTCAATTACACAAATCACCCTGTTAATTAATAAAGAAGAGGAGTTGACATTTTTTAGTGGCCACATGATATGCTCCCTGAGGGACTCTACATATGGTAGAAGTATGTAAAGTTCCTCATGACTCACCCTGTATATGTAATAAAAAGGCTATGATGACAAGTTACACCGTTTGTTCAGTGAACTAACGACGCCATCTAGGAAAGAAATCTTAACTACCACCATTTGACATTTCTATCATATTTTGTTCTTGAAACGATACGTTTTTTAAGGAAGAATTTAATACAAAATAATTTAAAGCTTTATGTTAGTTTAGATTTAAAATCCTAACACCATCTGAACTAGTGACATTTCAAACTATGAGTTAATCATATTTTGTTTTTGAAACGATACGTTTATTTATAATACAAAAAATATTGATTAGATATTAATGTAATTATTAAATTATTGATATTTTTAAGGTACGATTTAAAATTCTAGCGCCACGTAGGAAAGAAACCTGAACAGATAAACTGACAGTAATGAATAAAAAGTTATCTGGAAAATAAATTGTGTTTATTGTAGTTCGTTATTATGTTGTAGATTATCGCGAAATCAAAAATATAACCTAAATATTGTTGCTTAGTGTAGGTTAGAGACATGGATGTTAAAAGATTTAATGAAATCGGAGAGTATGATTAGTATGATGTTTAATGTTTATAAACTTAGTGGAGAATATAATATTTGATGCAGAATTGAACATTTTAATTTTGACAATTTGAACAGATCTAGCAAATTTTTCAGCCATAGTTTTTAATTTAAAAATTGCACAAATTTACTCTTCGAACAACTGTACACTAGTAAAAGGCTTTAAAAAAAAATAGCCATATTCCAAGAAAAATAAGATATAAACAACACTGCATTAACCGAAGTTGTGAAACTGATATCAATTCTGCAAACTTATTAGCCTTAATTGACCTGTCGGCACCGTTTGTCGGTGTCTAAAAGATGCTAAAAGTGTTTCTGCATTGTGGGAATTTAGTTACAATAGAATAAATTGTATAAACTTACGAGTTATTGAAACATTATTACAAAATTCTAGGTGGCCTCTTGTACGTGAAGCGCAGTGTAGCTGGTAATAAATGATTATAAAAATAAGCGTATAAATATTTTCATTTACTTGGTTTAGGGATTCAATATTTTAATTATCTTGATGTAACAATAAAACACTGAAAACTTTGTTTTCAAACTTCCACAAAATTTATTTTAAATATTATCACTACAGCTGTTTCGGCTGATTGCCTTTCTCAAGTGATCTATTTTGGCTTGGGTTTACAAATTTATAGTCTCTAATGAAATAGGTTGAGGAGGGGAGAACTGTTTGTCTCAAGTTGGTCATTCAGAATTATATCTGTGTTTTTTAATTTGTTGATTTCCATAGATTCTAACAAAGATAGCTTAAGGCCTTTATTTTGAATGTGAAGAATTTTAAATTTGTCATTAAAAGAATGATTATGATCTAGAAGGTGAAGTGCGTATGTCGAATCTGTTTTTCTATTCTTGAAAGCCCTTTTATGTTCTGCTATTCGTTTATCAAAGTTTCTACCAGTTTGACCGATGTAAGTTTTTGGGCAGTCGCCACATTGAAGTTTGTACACACCACTATTTAAGTGTTTTTTATTTTGGCTCTTGTTATTTTTAATATATTTGCCTAGGTTGTTATTTGTTCGGAAAGCTGGTGTTATTCCTTTCTTTTTTATGTGTTTGGCAATTTTTGTTGTTATTTTGCCTGTATATGTAATCGAGCAGAAGGTACTGGTTTTTTCTCTGGTGGTGGAAATACTAATTTCAGGGCTTTCTTGTGTAGTTTTTGATTTAACATTTTATTAATTGTTTGTTCGTTGTATCCGTTGTTTACTGCTATCTGCTTAATTATATTTAATTCTGTCTCAAAGTTGTATTTTGACATCGGAATTTCTGTTAATCTATGTAACATACTATGATAAGCTGCCAGTTTATGTTGTGTTGGATGGGATGATGAATTGTGTATAGTCGTGTCAGTATGGGTAGGTTTATGAAATATGGAGAAGTCATGTTTGTTTTGAAGTCTGCTAATTTTTAAATCTAAAAAATTTATGGATTGATTTTGTTCTGTTTCTATTGTAAATTCAATATGACTATGAAGTGAATTAATATACGATAAAAATTGGTCGAGTTGCCTGTTAGTTCCTGTGAAACATACCAGTACGTCGTCTACGTATCTCCACCAATATAAAAACTGTTTGAATACGGGATGTTTTGAAATCTTTGTCTCTAGATGATCCATAAAAATATCTGATAGCAATGGGCTTAGAGGATTACCCATTATAAGTCCTGCACTGTTATTTGTATAAATTTTATTATTAAATTCAAAGTAGTCCTGGTTTATGCAAACTTCAAGAAGATGTAAAATTTCAGATGTAATTATTGGATTTGTACTATTTTGGTCTAAAAGGTTTTTTACTAGAATAAAAGTTTCTGTAGGAGGGATACTAGGAAATAGATTTTTTACGTCAAATGAAATTAATCTGGAGTTGTTAGGTAATTAAAAATGTTGTATTTTATTAACTAGTTCTATTGTATTTTTTATGGCAAATTTAGGTGAAAATTTAGTGTGGTCTAAAATAATCTCTAACAGTTTTTTTGAAATTTTATATGACGGAGCTGTATAAAAAGAAACTACAGGTCTTATTGGCTGATCCGGTTTGTGTAGTTTAATGAAAGAATATAATTTAGGAGGCTGTGGGTTCATGATACTGAGGTATTTCTGTTCTATTGGATTTAGTATGTAAACCCAAGCCAAAATAGATCACTTGAGAAAGGCAATCAGCCGAAACAGCTGTAGTGATAATATTTAAAATAAATTTTGTGGAAGTTTGAAAACAAAGTTTTCAGTGTTTTATTGTTGTATAAAATGAATTTCCATCAAGTAACGGTCGAATCTATCAATTAATTATCTTGATAATTAAAAAATTGATTAATTAACCTTTTTCAAGAGATATCGGTGCTATTGATTCAATAATAGTAGTATCGGATTCCAAAATGAAAAATATGCACATAGTTACCTAGTTTGTCAGATTCTTTTAATAATTATAAAATACATTCAATTATATATAAAAAAAGACTCAGAGTAAGTATACAAAATATCCAGAGTGTAGTAGAAAATTTTCAAAACTTTCAATAAATCTTCTATATAATATCTGGAATATTGATTTTAAATTCTGACAATACGAATGGGTTCTTACAAGGAGATTCTGATTATAAAGATTAAGCTATTTTTAAGATGTCCACTAAACAATCCAATTTTTATAAGGATTTCATATTAGAACCAGATATGCAAAACAACTTTTTATGTATGGAAGAGACGGTTTAGATACTATTTCATCCAGTGGAAGTGACTGTAAGGTTGAAAAGATTCAACCGTTCTAATCTACAGCAACATTCTACGAGGATAATCTAGCGAGAGATCAAAATTAAGACAATTTTGAATATGAATTGCTAAAGGAAGACGTTACTGAACTTTTTGATGTTTGAGCTAACTTCATATAATATTTTAGTGTTATGGAAAAACCTGAGAAGAATCATTAAACATGTATTATTTTTTTATTCGTTATTAAATTTTTCTTTAGAGAGAAATTTTTCTTTTTTTTTAAAAGATATATTAAAACATTGTGATTTCTTTGACAATTAATTAAATATTGATGTGTTCCGAAATAAATTTTAAATTTATCTTACAGATAAATATCCGCAACATAATTTGACGTGAAAAAACGGCTTATAAATAAATGTGGAGTGATTGTAGATGCAATTGATTGTCCCTGTCGCATGGTGACGGGCAAAATCACTAGTATAGTTATAAGCCATCTCTTCGTCGACTTCAAAGCAACCTATGGCAGTGTTAAAAGAACTGCGCGATATACATGATACTAATGATACGACGGACTAGTCGCATTGCTAGGATGTCAGATAATGAAAACACGAAGAGATTGACATTCTCAAATTCAGAAGGCAGAAGAAGTAGCAGGTGAATACCGACAAAGGATTGTCCAGCCATATTATGATGATGAAATTCTTTTGATCCTGTATATTATTATTTTTCCTCACATAAAACCCACAGTTTTCCTTATCAACGGTTCTAATTATTTCTACATAACGAATTAATGAAAAAACCATAATCTAATCTAATCTTTAACCACATGATAAGTATATTTTTAAACATATACTTCAGCACTCTATTAATAAACATTTGAAAAGTTCTTTGTCTTATTAATTTGGATATCGGATAGTAGAATTTTTCTATATATTATATATGTAGATTTTTTTCGTCGAATATACTTATTCTTATTTTGCCCATGGCAGTTATCCGAATATAATATTATTTCCTGTTCTCTGGCATGGTTCCTCAGAAATGATATGTCCTGATGTGTCCTGCATTTGTGGTCAGGTCAAACATTGTGAAATTAAATGTTGATAATCTCCTTTTGTAATAAAATAAGGGGATATCGCCCGAAGGTGTCGGTAGTACGGCTTGTAAGTCAAAACAAGCAGTAATGCAAATGTTGGATTTTGCAGATTTTGATTCATTTTCTTTTCTAATGAGTTCCACTTCTTGACGGTATTATAGGCTGCTTCTAATGTAGATTTATCTTACGAATTTTTGTATTTTTCACATAGCGAGCAGAGGTCTTTTTTGGGCTTAAAGAAGCTTATATTAAATTCCGTGTTAAATATGGTCCCAAACGTAGCGTAATTTCCGAACACCGAACCTTTTTCTTCGCAAAATTTCATATAATTTCGCATAATTCTATATAATTTTATGATGTGAGCACTTTGGTCCCGTTCTTTATTTTATTAAATAAAATTTGAATTATGGTTGTTTGGAATAATTCCTTCAGCATAATAATTATTGTTTTATATTGGTATTTACGTTAAGGGCTTTAATTTTTGAATTGAAAATATTGCGAAAATATAACATTTGTTATGTTAGTCCATAGAAATTTATTTTTTTTAATCTAGTGAAATTCTAGTGATTTTTGTCAGTTAAATGTAGACACTTTTATAAATGTGACTTTTAAGTACAGTCTGTCGACAAAGAGTTAATTCAACATCATTTATTACATGAAACATAACCTACAAGATTGTAGAAAATTCAATCTTCTATGGTTCATGGTTCTTGAATTGCTTCTTACTACGTTTAACTAAATTAAACAAGATTGTTTACTCACAACACGAAAACAACAGATAAAAGTAGTTACAGGCAATGTTGCATTTATTTGGTATTAACTGCTGATATTGCCAGATAGATATGAGTTTTTGTTCCTATTTTAGAACCATAGAGCAACAACTGCAGATAATACCTGATGGTATAAAAAGAAGAAGATTAATAGTGGGAAGAGATGTAATTATATTATCTGCAATTGTAGTAAAAAATTGATTTATTTCGTCTGGAGGTAGATCAGGTTGTACTGAACTGGACCTTGTATAGTTTCTTTCGAAATTTACTATTTTCCAGCAGTCTCTAGGTTTATTATTGGAATTAGTAATAAAATTACAGTAAGCTAACTTCTTAGCAATTTGTAATTGCCGATTATATTCAAATTTTTGTTGTTTATTTAATATTAAATTGTTATAAATTTCGGTAAGAAAGACTGTCAAAAAATCAGGAGCGTTATTATTAATATCATAAAAAAGTCTATATTTGTACTACCTAGGAGCACGTTTAAGCTTCTGTAGACCAGAAAAGTAATAAACCGTTAAAATGTTTGATTGTATCAACAACTTTATGCTTAGAGTCAATAAATAAAAATTGAGCTCGATGGTCAGCAAAACAAGGTTCAAATACGTCCACTCTGTAGATATTTTCAGAAAAATTTGTTATAATTGTTGATGCAACTACTTACTGGACTGGGATGTGATTCTAGTATAATCGTTTATAGTTACTTTTAGAACAAAAGATGTTATAGATGTTGAATACAAAAAAGGGACATAAAGAAGAACTAGTTAAAAAGGCTAGAGGTTCACTAAAAACGTTTTTAATCGCAACAAGATCACATAAAGCAGCATCAACTTCAAGAGCTCATGATAAAAATTTAACAGAGACGGAATTGACAGTGGTCACTAGAGATGAACAAAAGAAGGATTTGTCGAATATATCACAACTGTGATGAAACATGTTTTAGCCGAAGAACAAATTCCTGAAGAAGTAAATTTTGAACACAGTATTTTATTGGGCAAAATTAAATTAATTCTGATAGAATTAGGTTCTACCCAATTGACAGAGCTAACATCTAATTGAACTGAGTTGAGGATTAAATCTACCAGAACTTTTTTATTTCGATTATAAAAAGCTTAGTTTTTTAAACCTATAAATACATCTTCTTACCTTTCCATATGGATGAACATACAACTCATCCCTCATACTGGTAAATCCTGACTCCAAAATTAAAGCCTTCGTATGCACTTGGTCGTAATTTTCCATCTCAGCCACTGTCCTGGTAGCTAAGGCAGCCCCCAGAGAATGACCCCAAACATAAATATCAGATTTTGTTCGATTTCTGACCCATTTGTATAATTCAATGCAATCTTCAACGACTGTATCCTCAGTAAGTTGGCCATCTGAAGAGTCACCATAACCTATAAAATTAAAAATATGAAAATAGTAATTTAGAGCCGTCTGGAAAGAACAACTCTGAAATGAGTATAAAATACATAAAATGAATTCAAATGGTAGGTAATATTTATAGGGAACATCCTACAGATGTGTAGGACACATATGTATCAGGTATAACCAAATAAGCATCAGTGGACACACTCAGCATATGAAAATTATCAATGTCATTACTGGATCACATATATTGAAGAATACTGTAAAAAATTGATTCAGATAATAATAGATGGCAATCAAATATTGATTTAACCATATGTGATATTGTAGCCAAGAAAGGAACTAGAAAATACTTAACTTAATTTCTATCAGGATATCATTTGTTCGGTTTCTTCATCTTTACCATGAAAATGAACTCAAGAAACAAAATTTTCAGAACCAGGTAGATTTTTAATCATCAGAGAGTGATAAAAATCCCCCTAACTTGGCAGGTTACATCTCTACATATATGTGTTCAAAAGCTGGATTTATGGAAACAATCCAAGACAATAAAATTTCTGAAGAAGATGATGGTGATATTCCTTTCAATCAATTATCACTTCTTTTAAAAATATGCCAGAAAATTTGGATTTAGAAAGATTCAGAAGTTTTGATTTGTATCCAGAGAACGGAGAACCGGGCATTTTTGATTTACATGAAATAAGTCAAGAATTTGCTGACAAAGGAAGCAAATCACACCTTACTGCAGACAATAAATGTGAGAGTTGTGATCAAGATGAAGACATTTAGCGTTCATCATTGGCCATTGGAAAATATGAGTAAGTTTACTGAGTTTACTAAGTTACTAAGTAAGTAAGTAAGTAAGTTACTAAGTTTACTAAGTATTACACATTTTATTAAAATGTGAGAATAAGGTCACAAAAACCAAATTAAAAAATTTGAAGCAGACTTACATTTTTCACAACGCATAATGTTTATACATAATATAATTTTTTTCAAATAATCCCCTAGAGTTTGTAGCCCAATAGAGCAGCCACCCATCTAAATGACCCAAATTTTACATTTTCATTATTGGCCTATTGGTTTCCCATATAATATGTTAGTAAAGTCACTATGAAAGGCACCTTAGCGTGAAAAGTGTCTAACTTCGATTTGTAATTCCAGTTATACTGGTTAAGGTCCCGAATGTAACATTTTACTACTGTACTGGGTGGTCCAATAAGCCGATCTCTCGGCTATATCAGAAACTATTCATGTTATAACTTTAGGAGAAAAAATTCCTTAGTAAAAGTGGCCAAGAGAAATCGCTGGAAATAACTTTCAAGTTTCTGGGTTAACTGCTAGGGGGCGTAACTTGTGAAGAAATATTTGAAAACCAGTTTTTTGTGAAATATGCCCAATTATACCAAGTGTTAAATAAGTAAACTAGAAAGAGGCCTAAATTCCGCACAAAGTTGTTCAAGTACTTTTTTTATTTTTTCAAATAAAGGGTGGGGTAGAGTGGGAAAGTATTTGTAGATAAATACCTATAACTTTGGTTTGAATCAACCGATTTTAACAAAATTAGTGTCATTACAAAGAGTGTAGATGATTTAATTTACATCTACTATAAAACAATTGCATTTAGTTTTAATTGTCATAGGTAGAGGATACTTTCGAATAGAAAAAATTAAAATTTGTTTTTCTTCAAAATGTTTAACGGAAACACCTATTTATTGTAAATTATAATGGAACTGGATTAAATTCGTAACAAAATGGCGCAAACCTCATGATGATAGCTTTTGTCGAACTCGAGATATGAATAAAAACGCATAAACATAAGTAAGTATAGTATTGATTCACCCTTTATTATAACTTAAAATTGAATATGTGAAAGATCATACAAATATATCGATCATTAAAACTTAATGTCCAATTAAATGTTCAAATTGTTTTCCATCGTTGTCCACATAAAGATGTAATCTTTCGCGCTCAGCTGTTAATATACTATTTAACTTGTAAGGAAATATGGACCTACGATCTTTCCATCAACTATACCACACCAAACATTAAGACTTCATTTACCTTGAATCTGTACCTCATATATCCAGTGTGGATTTTCTTCAGCCCAATAATGCATATCATGCAGATTAACACCGCCTGCACTATTAAACGTAGCCTAGTCTGTCCACAATATCTTTGACATGATATGCGGTTGTTCTTCTAGCAGACCTAACATTAAACTGCAGTAATCCAGCCTTGCATCAAAATCTCAAAAACTCAAAAAATCTTGAAAAATCCACAATTGTTTCACAAGATAATTCGTACATAAGTATTTTTAATAAATGGATAAAAGCGTCGTGTTGCCGTTTTTATCGGAATATTAAAATAACAGTTGAATCTAAAGTTTAAAGGAATTCCAAGTTTCTGACCTAAATGTTCACTTTATAATATGAAAAACCAACCTGTGATGTTTTAAAACCCTTAGAACAGTAGTTTTGGGTATGTTTAATTCTATAGAGATTTGCCGACTACTTATATGTGGATTCTGTTGAATTAAAGCAAGAACATTCATTGAATTATCTTCGGTCATACCTCTACTACGTCGTTTAAAACAAGGACGATGAAAACTACCAGTTTCTCTTAATCTTCTTGCCTTTCTTTAAAATACTTCTTTGCCATAATGTCTCCTGTCAGGATATCTTACAGAATATATACGTGAGGCAATAGCGGCATTTTGGTGACATTCGAAATAAACTCCAATCATATCATACAATTATGCATTTGATATACTCATCACGAATTATTAGTACTGAATTAATTACTAATATTATCAATTAATTACTAATAATATCTATTGAAAAAAGCGCAATCTTAAATTCGAAATATAACACTTCTTAACATTGTTTTGACTGCTGTCAATAAATAAACATTATGAACTCCCCGTCAAATGTCGTAGCCTACTTAATTTCTTTACTGTCGAAAACTCTTTTTAATCATATGAAATAACAATGGTCAAAATAGTATCAACATTAAGATTCTTCTGCTATAAAAAAAATTGAAAGTACCTACTGACTTATTTTTTAATTTAATTTATAATACAGGGTAAGTCAATACTATACTTACTTATGTTTATGCGTTTTTATTCATATCTCGAGTTCGACAAAAGCTATTAACATGCGGTTTGCGCCATTTTGTTACGAATTTAATCCAGTTCCATTATAATTTACAATAAATAGGTGTTTCCATTAAACATTTCGAAGAAAAACAAATTTTAATTTTTTCTATTCGAAAGTACTCTCTACCTATGACAATTAAAACTAAATGCAATTATTTTATAGTAGATGTAAATTAATTCATCCACACTCTTTCTAATGACACTAATTTCGTTAAAATCGGTTGATCCAAACCAAAGTTATAGGTATTTATCCACAAATACTTTCTCACTCTCTCCCACCCTTTATTTGAAACAATATAAAAAAGTACTTGAACAACTTTGTGCAGAATTTAGGCCTCTTTCTAGTTTACTTATTTAACACTTCGTATAATCGGGCATATTTCCCAAAAAACTGGTTTTCAAAGTTTTCTTCACAGGTTACGCCACCTAGCGGTTAACCCAGAAACTTGAGAGTTATTTCCAGCGATTTCTCTTGGCCACTTTTACTAAGAAATTTTTTCTCCTAAAGTTATAACATGAATAGTTTCTGATATATAGCCGAGAGATCGGCTTATTGGACCATCTAGTACATTCACATATTCAATGTTGAAGCAAACAGTATAAATCTTAGTATAAGTCATGGATGAATGGACCAAGCAATTAAAAGATACTAAAAAATTTTTTAACAATACATGCTGATATACTCACCTCTATAATCAAAAGCTATAATTTGAAAGTTATAACTCAGCAACTCGTATTTTCTTTCGCTATATGTTCTCACTTCTCCTGTTCCGTGGAAATAAAGCAGCACACTGTAATTACTGTTCAGTAAGATTTCATCATAGTTGAGGTCAGTCGAATTGTCATATAAGTCTTCATATGCTAGATTTACTGGTAGAATGTGCCAGACTCCAAGAGTCTTGGTGCCTTCATCTTTTGAATAATTAAAACTGACATATCTGTTTCTGTATGCAGGAAAATGTTGCGTTTCAAAGAATAAAGGATCCCTTGGTAAATTAACTTGAAAAAAAATATTTTATGTAGTCAGAATGTAGATTTATATCACAATAATTTTATATTTTAAAAATTAGTGTGCAGAGCAATAAATAGTATTTAGGATATATTTAGGATATTTTTTATACATTTTCTGTTAAAAATAATTCATAATAATCATGTTTAAGTCTTTAAAGCTGTTGAAGTGCAATGCCTATTTTCCACCTCTATATAATTTCCACTACTTACAGTTAAGCACCACAAATGTAGTTAAGCACCACAAATGTAGCAAGTGACTCATGTTTTTACGTTTTTTTATATGCCAGTAAAATTGTAGCCTTTAGAAAAAAATATTTTTGTTGTTGGAGTACCAACAAAAGTCATGCAGTACATGAATTTTATTTCAAAAAGGAATTACCAACTATAAAAAAATTGCTATTTAAAAATATTACGAAAATATTATGGATATTTTCAAATGAATAGGATTTAGTTTAAATATATTTTCAATTTAATTACACCTTTAGTTATAAAACAAAATACTACATTTAATGAAGCCATACATATCAAACCAAAGAGTATTTTTAAAAAAGAAGAGGTATCACTTCCGCGCAAAAGTCCTAATTGTTTATCACTTCCATGATTAATTGTCACAATGCAATGAAAACACATGCATAAATGACAAAATAGCCTCCAAAATTATTTTTTTAAATTATCCATATCAAAATCAAACAAATCCTAAATAAACAACAACAAGGAGAAAACTACAGAACCCTAATTCACATTATCCCTACCAACCGGTTACGACCCGTACATAACCGTCAGCATCAGTAAAATATTGTTTTCGAATATACTGAAGGGAAACGTTGGCTGTCTGTAACGATACCTTCCGGACAGTGTGCGTTGTTCATATTTAAAACCATTTAAATTATATTTTTCAGAAACTAAATGCTATGGGCTGGAAACGCAAGGTGCACGTCACTTTATTATTAGCCATATTGGAAGCAACTCAGGATTTGTTGAAGGAGGTTTAAATGCATTTGTTTCTAAAAAGACTGGAGATTATCATGAGGAAATGGATGCAGATTATTATGAAAAATGGTTTTCAGATATTCTGTTAAAAAACTAACCAGGATCTATTATTGTTATGGATCATGCTCCATATCACTGGCGGCATGTAGAACAGTTACAACCACCAAATGGAGAAAAGCCGAGATTGTGGATTAGCTTACTAAAACAAATTTAAATGCAATTTACCAATTTTGAAAATCGAGTTACTAAACTTAGCACAGTGTCATAAAGATAAATATATTAAATATGTAGTAGATGAAATAGTGCGAGAGCGAGGCATAATTGTAGTTCCATTGCTGTCATATCATTGTGAGTTAAACCCGATAGAACTTAAATGGGCTGAAATAAAGAACGAAGTAACAAGGAACAATGTTATTTTCAAATTAAATGATGTAAAAAATCTACTTAATAGTGCCATCAGCAATGTTACCTCACAGTAGAGGATAAAATGTATCAAGTATGTAGTGAAAAATGGTTGAGTGCTTAATGATTGCAATAAAACCCGACCGCAAGTACCCTAGCTTAGTCAACATTAGTTGAGCAGGTAAGTATTCAGGTAAAATTGAAGCTACTGTGGAGTGTCGTTATCTTGTTTGTATCATAAATTCCTGGTAATATAAAAACGATTAAAAAATCGTATAAAATTATAAAAACGATTAGAATACATTTTATTTCATAAAGTTGTAAACATTTTAACAGTGAGTTTCACTATCAATGGTTGATCTTTTAATGACCACAATAAATTTGTTGATCGTTAAGTATTTCCTGGAATAATTATACAGGTTCCCTCTATTCTGTATAATTTGTAAAAGTATATAAAACCGATGAGAAATTTTTAAATATACATTTTGTTTCATTTAGTTGAAAGTGTTACAAGTGTTACCATTGTTATACCTATTTATACCTATAAAACAGCATTATGTGGCGTCCGTGGAAAAACATTGATGGTGCTTCTTCCAGTGTTCCAGCAAAGAAAAAGCATTTATCTGCTGACGCTAGAGAAATCGTAAAAACAATATATATAGTTCTTTACTTACAAGAGGACTTACTGCTAATACTGCTGCCAGTGAAATATCTATTTAAACGAAAATACCTCTAACCACAGTGAAAAGAATAACATCAAATCTCATTAAGTCAAGAACGAAGCGTAAGGATGCAGGTTCTACCAAATGTATTGACGAAAGTGATAAGGACTTAATAAGACGAAAAATTTACACAATGTACGAAGAGCAACGGATACCTACATTAGATGCTTTAAAACAATGGCTTACTAATGATGATACACAAATAAACTGTAACCGCATTAGTCTTTGGAGAATTTTGTCTAAAATGGACTTCAGATATAGTACAATTGACAAAAGGCAAGTGCTTATGGAGTCCCATCATTTACAAAAGTGGCATACTGAATATATAACTTCCATAAGAAGAATATCATATATGAGAATATCATATGAAATAATTTAATAATATTACACAGCTACCAATGAAATATATTAAATAACAAACTTTCTGAAGTGCGACCCTGTGTACTTCAGTAGTTTATTGAGAGACTTATGTATACACAATAGAATCAACTCAGGTAACCATTAAGCACTCAACCATTTTTCATGAAACAAACTTTACCATGAATCCACTAGTTGTAGATCTAGGTGAAGACACTAGTGATGAACATGAAGATGACTTAGTAAGATTCTATATAATGTTAGTTTTTATGTGAACATATTTTTTATGTTTTATGGAAATAAATATTCAGTTAAGGTAAACCATTAATTATTATACCAAGGCTTGTAATTCAGTTTTACCTGCACTAAAAGTTACTATATAACTATGTAGACAGCCCATTTTCTAATCCCATGTCATTAAATCTCATTTAACAATAGGAATTAAATTTAATCCTTGAATCAGTCATAAGTTTTTCAAGGGTATAAGAGATCAATCAGATAAAGGGTATTCCCCAAAAAAATATATTTAACAAGGATTAGTTTTCTTCATGTAAGGCATTTTTAAAATAAGAAAATAATTTTTATGACAATCAATTAGTTTTAAAATCCTGATTATTTTTTAATAATAACGGCATATCTATGACTCATGGATTTCCTTCTTCAAAATCACAAAGGTCTACATTGTAAATATGAGTCACTCACTACAATTGTGGTACTGTGGTTTAGAAAATTCGAAAAATGCCACTGTGCACATACTTGTTTCAATAACACATTTAGCCAAATCTAAGTTGTTGTCTTATAACTTCAGAGGAAATAATGTTATTTAATAAATAAAATATGTACAGTAGTGTCAAGACAGAAAAAAATACTCAATCAAACCAGAGTTCTATATTTCAATTCAATTTTGTAATGGGGGCCCTTCTGTTTAAATACATAAATAAAAAAAATCATTTTAATATTGAGGTAGAATAATATTTATTCAATAAACATGATTAGATATTGCCAACATTGCCTAATATTTATGTCCCACTGTTAATGAATTTATGTGAATTGGTACTTAGGCTTTTTAAATTGTTAGTCTGTTGTGTTAAATGAAAACATACAAGCATTTTCACATAAAAGCAACAATTATTTATATGATTAGCGTTTTACCACTAGGATTAAGAAGACAATATTGATTATAATTATTTAAAGATTGGAATTTCCTAAATTACTATGTATTAAATAACACTATCACAATTAAATTACTATTATGTTATAAATAGCTACTTACAGCGTGTAAATATAAGGCTTGTTTGTAGAGGAATCGAGTTCATAAAGACGAAAGGAAAAACGATGAACACTAGCATAAATGTTATCAAGGCTAAGACAACACATCTGAAAATAAAACGAAGTTAAATGTTGATGAAACAATACGTAAAGGAAGCTATTACAGTGTAATTGTTATACAAATGCATCTCTTATAACGGCATCTTGGTTTCCGGAAATCTGGCAGTAGATCAATCTCATCTGCATCATTATCATGTACTAAACAGTAATCCTGAAAGCGCCCGTGTCTTGTCATTTTGGCAATAGGATATTCACATTTTTTATAAACCGGACAATAATTATTAACAATAATTTACACAATACAAACACCAACTCGTCTGTGTTTGTTTTAAACGCATTTGACACATGACGCACACACAATAGGATTGTCTAAATATCCAATGCCATAAATACTAACGAACGTTGCCAGCGTTCACATTTAGTCTGAAATGCCAATACAATTTTTTTGACAAAATTATAATTCATGCAATGTAACTTCTGTTACTTTATTACCAGTTTATATTCAAAATTTTAAAGAAATTTTTTTCAAGTCGTTTAAGGTTGTTCTGGGAATACAAATTTTTTGCCTGCACATGCCTTCATTTTTTTACTGCGTCTATAGCAAGGCTCATTTCATCTTCCGTTCATTTTAAAAAAGGTTTTTATTTCCTTTCTGGGTATTCTTTCTATAATAATAGGAAATTACAGATTACTTTAAATGCTTTAAAGCGCTAAATGGTCGAACATATCGATGACCATTAATAGATCATTACTTTATAGATCATTAATAGATACAGTACTTTAAAAATGGACACCCGTGATGCCCATTTAAAAAGTTTTAGCAGAATTTTCATCCAGTAATATTCTCCCATGGTAAAAAACTTCCATAATAATGTGTTTACTAAATATGAAGAAAATACAAAGTACTTACCCTTTAAATGTGTAATAAGACAAAATAAATATATAAATGTCCATAATAACTTCACGGCACTAATTGCAACCCAAAGACTAAACAACTTGTCTCATAGATCAAAACAAATTGATTTTTGGCGCGCCAAAGTTTGACATAATGACAATCAGACAAAAAACCTTCTCTCATGGCAATAACGGATAGAGATAGTGCAAGCACTCCTGACCATGGAGCTGCGCGAAGGCGGAGTCAAAATTCACGTAAAGGCCGAAAGGTTCTATTGTAAGTGGAATTATACAGTGCATAGTACAATGCGTTTCGCATGGAAGTGGGAACTAAACCAAATTTCGTCTACTGCGCCGTGGTCAAGAGTGCTTGCACTATCTATAAATAGAAGGATACATTCTGTCCTATGCTCTAATGCAGCGGTTCTCAATCTTTTTTGGGGACGGAACCCTTTTGGAAAGCGAAATACTTGACGGAACCCTATAATAAAACAATAGTTTTTAAAAGTGTATTCTTTATTAATAAGCATAATAAAAGTACAATGTAACAGTTAGTTATTACTTACTTACATAACAAGTATAATAATAGAAATTATTAAAAAAGAAAAAAATCTAACTAATGGGAGGTATGAAACTGTTTTTTATTTTTCATCAATTGGTTGATATCAGGTTTGATAGAGGACAGTTGAAGTCTCATATCAGGTTCGGCGTCCAGTCTATTGCGGTATTTTGTTTTCGTAGCTGCATAGGTTGAGAATCCTGTTTCGCACAAATATGTTGTTGGGAACGGGAGAAGAATATTCAGTGCCATTTTGGCAAGCATTGGATATTCATCACGAATTCTGCACCAAAAATCGTTGAGAGGCGTCGTTTTGAACAGTGCCTCCAAACTTGTGTCTGATGACATTTCTAAAAGAGATTCATATATCTCGTTTGGCATACTTTCGGGCTTTTGTAAGTTGGGTAAAAAAGGATTATGAATCCATGAATTCAGTTTCATTTTTGTATTTTGTTCTTCGGGAAAATACTTCTCAAAAGATGCGCGCATCGAAGTGAGATATTTGACCAATTCCTCAAATACATCATCTTGAAACATTTCTGAATCGTTATCACTAACAAACTCACTGAGTGAGGTAAAGCTTTCGATTTCTCTCTTTCCAACGCAAATAATCCAAAAATCTAATTTTCTTTTGAAGGCAGTTATTTTGTTACAGGCCTGGAACACTGTTGTCTGTTTACCTTGCAATGATACATTTAATTCGTTCAGTTTTTGAAAGATATCCGCCATAAAAGACAGTCGGAACAACCAAGTTTTATCATACAAACGGTCTTTCAAATTAAAAGCAGTATCTGAAAGAAACATTTGTAACTCGGCTCTAAGTTCAAATAGCCTTGTTAAAGTTTTACCCCAAGACAGCCATCGCACTTCTGTATGGAGCAGCAGTGTTTTATGTTTGCTGCCATAATCTTCACACAATGATGAGAATAATCGGGATTGTAGTGGTCGTGTTTTGATAAAATTAATTATTTTTACCGCTTCATCCATAACTAATTTTAGATTTGACGGCATTTGCTTCATCGCAAGTGCTTGTCTATGCAGGATACAATGGCTGGAACTACAATTAGGCGCTTTATTTTTTATTCGTGACACTAGTCCTGCTGTATTACCCGTCATTGCCTTGGCCCCATCTGTACAAATGTCAATGCAATTGTTCCAACTGAGATTATTTTCCTCAAAAAATATATTTATTTTATTAAACATTTCTTCTCCGGTAGTTTCATATGGATATCTCACGATAACCAGCAAGATAGCCAGACCAGCGACATCAGTAGACTCATCTATTTGCAAGACGAAACGTGTTTCTTGTAGACGTGTAACTAGTTCTTGTTTGACGTAGCTTGCCAGATCATGAATTCGCCGTGAAACAGTATCGTTTGATAGCGGCACAGTAGAAAGATGCTTTGCAGATTTTTCATCGAGCATACATTTTGTTATGTCTAACACACATGGTTTTATTAAATTCTCAGCGATAGTGTGCGCTTCACCTGCTTGTGCAATGCGATAGCTAACTAAATATGATGCCTCTGTGGCCTTTTCATTGATAGTTTGGGTTACATGCATCATAGTTTTTTGACTTTCCAATAACTGTTCTTTTTTACGTACAAAAAATTCTTTATTCTTGTCTTTAGACTCAGGGTGTACAGTTTCTAAATGTCGGCGCAACTTGGCAGGTGCCATGGAACTATTAGGAAGCAGTTTACTACATAACATGCAGAGAGGTGAGCCTTTGGAATCAACAAATCCGAAACTGATATATGATTCATCATACTTCCTTTTTTTCGCCTTTGAAACCGTGGAACTTGACGTCGTTGCATAATCGTCTGGATCGGTAATTGCTGTATACTCCGCGCGAACTACTTTTGAACATTCGGCTTCGTTAGAAGATGTTGTTGCAACACGTTTAACGTCTTTAAGCCAACGTTCCATTCTTCTTTATTAATATTGTTACATGTCAGGATGGTGGGGTCAAAATAACGCACGATCGTTACTGCGTAAAAGAGTTTAGTCCAAAGAAGAAATGTACAATCAGAATACAGCAGTAGAACAATAAACACTTTGTTTCTAGCAGGTAGGTACTTATCACTCCGAACACTAATCGTCAACTAACTAAGCGTAGAGGCGCCGAGGCGCGATCGCCGCTTTTATAGTCTTAGCCAGATCTCGAACATTATCAAAAATACTCGAGTCGGCGAGCTTGTTTTTTTTTACATCTTTAAAGAGGAGAAGGAAAATCTGCATACAGACACCTGTGACTCACACAGGTAGTGTTGGGTTCCTAATACCCTAGCGAAGTTGTGCAGGGGCGAGATGCCCAAGGAATTTAGACCCTTGACACCTCGCCCCGTCACCACTCCGAGACGGTCGGCGTCCAACTAAAAACCTCTCCTCTGTCACACCAGACATCAGGATGGAAGGGCCAGTTAAGGCATACATCTCTCCCGATGCCCTGCTATCACCCGATTCCCATTCTTTCTCCGACACATTCATCCAGGAAACCACACCCACACGAACCACCAAGGACTTTCAACCCCCTGCCTTAGCGAGGCTGCCATCTCTCTCGCGTCGTCTGTTTCTTACTCACTCTTAGTTCGGCCTGCGACAGTCCGAACCCTACCAAGGTGCTACTCGCTTGTCTTAAAATTCTGTTGCGAGTTCCCTCTCTTCTCGTTCTTTTGAGGAGAGCAGCTCCCTGACAAATTTGTGGATCCGTGTCCACCACCACTTATCCCTCATCATTTTCTCCACCATTTCTCTCACGGAATCAAACATTCTGCAGTTACACTCTCTTACAAACTTCTCTCTTTCATCCGCCCAACGCTCACACTCCAACATCGTGTGTGTCACAGTGTCCGAGAAACCACAGTAAAGGCACTGATCGGACTCAGCCCTCCTAAACCTGAAAAGGTAGCTGCGGAAGCAGCCATGGCCTGTGAGCATTTGCGTTAGATAGTAATCCAGCTGCCTATGCCCACAGTCCGTGGGCTTGTTTACAATTATTGTTAATCTCAGGGGCGGCTTTTATCAAAGGGACTCGCACTCACAAGTAGATATCGGCGGTGGCGGCATAGTAAAATTGTACGAGGCGAATTGTATATATGTATGTGTATATATGTATGTGTGTATGTATGTGTATGAATTGTATGTGTATGAATTGTATATATATATATATATATATATATATATATATATATATATATATATATATATATATATATATATATATGTGTATGTATGTGTTCGGCTGCGCCTCGTGAATCGTGATACGCCGCGTCAGAACGGTCGACCAGAGAGAGTTGTTTGGAATTTTTTCTAAATTCTTGCGGAACCGCTACAGGGATGTCGCGGAACCCTAGGGTTCCGCGGAACACACTTGGAGAATGGATGCTCTAATGCATGCTCTAATGTAAAAATGCTACGTGGTGAGTGTGACGTAAGTGTGGGGACTCGTGGTTGACATTTCTTATTGTTTTCTCTAGACTAGTTGTGCGTGCTTTAGATTTTTTTGTTGTACTACCTATTTGACGGCCTTATAAGACTATTTAATTATTGTTTCTATATATTTCTATCTACTTGTCCAAAAATATGGGTGTAATAGATGTGCCATGTATGGTTGTGACAATAATTTTAAGAGTGTAAAAACTAACGACATGTCTGTTATTTTTCACATTTTACCAAAAGGAAAGGATTTAGTGACGAAAACTGTAAGAGTTGAATGGGTTAATCGATGCAGAAGAGTCGATAATTTAAATCCTGATTCTAGTAGAATATGCTCTGTTCATTTTACCAACAATAACTATGAAAGAGATCTTTAAAATGAATTGGTAGTGGAGCGGGCAGGATTTCTATGCACCGTCCAAGTGGAGCCGAATAAAGGTCGATTTAAACACATCAGTCACGTCTCGTCACAGTCCCGGCGCCGAACCGAACAATCCGTCATACAAAATATTCTTTAATAGAAATATGCCGCCGGCATTCACATTCATCAGTTGACGAACAGTTTCCCAGCTGTCAGATAATTAATAGTTCTGTGACCAAAAAGGACCGGTTCGGCGCCGGGACTATGACGGGACTGATGTGTTTGAATCGACCTTTAATATATCGGCCGGGTACAAGTAATTAGGTTAAATTACTTCGGATTATCCTTCGTCTTTGGTGTACTTCCATTAAGCGGTGGTTCTTTTACTCCAATAACGTGCGAATTTGATACACCGAGCGAGGCATGCATATCTGATCATTTGTCGCATTAAATCTGTACGCATCGAATATGCACCGATAATCCGCTCGTGTATGGGGCCCTATTGTCTTTTCTCCAGTTTCAGAACGGCATATCGACTTTTCAATGAACGAAATTGTACCTCAATAGATTAAAGAGTCCTAATTTCTCACCGTTTCTGTAGTCTGTTCTAAGAATTCAAAACAAAACTGTAATAAATTGATAGTAGTGAGTAAAGTTCTTGTTGCTTTTTATTCTTGCTGACTGATTCTAGTATAACTTAGCTATTATTCTGATATCTTTTGCGTCTATATTATGATTTGTTCATGCTTTACATTTTACGTAGATGTCGAACATATTTCCTACTTAAGAAATAAAAATAAATTACATGTTCTTCTGGTTTATTCTGAAGATTTGGCAGCAGTGCGTAGCTGTAGATATTTTATTGGGTTTCTATTTTGTGACCATGGTGAAATACATACTTTATCTTAGGTTTACCAACTTATCTCGCACCGCATAACAGATTAACCAATACCAACGGAAATAATTAATTTTTATTTATTTCATTTTTCTAATTAGATGTAAAAACGTTTATTTATCATCGATATTGAATTAAATATATTCTTTTGAGTAGATGTATTGTTTGCAAAATGAGTTATTAATATTTGGTATGAAAGTATCCAGATAATATCTATGGAAATACGAGATTCAAAATAGGTATCACAACGAATTTTAATCTTATCGTTCTTTTTTCGGTTTAAATTTCTTTAATTCGTTATCAGTACACTTGTTATAAATTTTGTTGTAATGTCATAGTTTTCAGCATCAGATTTTTCCCCTTTTTTGTTTTTTTTCAAAAACCCTATTTTATAAACCGCTCGTAACTCATGCAATTGGTTTATTGTACAACTTACATTCATTCATGATACCCAATCCAGTATTCTAGAACCCTGTACCAGCTTGTACAGGTCTACTGAATACTGGATGAGTATGGACAGAGGTTCGTTAGTTCTCTGGTATGGATGTGTATCACGTTTTCTTGGCAATCTCCGAAAAGTGTTGGCCGCCTGCGATCTAATCAGACTTGCATATCCTGCAAGATCTTATACAGTGGCGGACTAAGGGTAAGTCGGCCACCGAGCCCTAGGCAACATTGTAATTCCGTTTTAAAATTTTTAATGACACGAATATCCTTGTCATCTATTCCGATATTTTTCAGTATTTGCATTAATTTTACATGCTGTACTTTATCGAATGCCTTTTCGAAGTCCACGAAACATGCAAATACATCTTTTATTTGGTCACGGCATTTTTTTGTGCTGTGAGCTGACTCCTTGTGTTTACCAGCTGACCTCACCTCCACTGCTTCTTGGAGGACCCTTTCCCGTTGGCCCTGACTCACATTCCACTGAGTGTTGGTTACCCAGTCCCTGTTATGGTTGCTCAGATTTACCAGTGTGGTTAAGCCACAGTTCTTGGAGGTGTGGATAGGAAATGAGTAGGAGAGGCTAGAGGTGTTATCTGAAGCATCGTCCTGTGATAGTTATTATTACAGTAGGCATTCGCCAGTTACGAATATGCTCTCTTTGAAGATATTGCTTGTGTAAGGGAACAGGTAGACATTTACAATTAATAAAGATTATTCATACAAAAATTTAATAAATAAATACTTAGGTAACAAAATATAGACGCCGGAACAGTTGCAAACAGATGTTTCTGGAAACTAATACAAAAATCGAATACAATAGATTTATTTTTTGTATCAGTTCCATAAATTTTCAGACCATATAAGATTCCAAGTTAGTTGATATTCACTTTTGAACATTTTTTCTGACTTTTGAATTTGAACACACTATTGTGATGGTTTCTGTTGTGGATAGTATAGCATAAAAACAACAAAACTGGAAATTACATTTCTCTTTGAACATTCGATTTTTACAGTTGAAGATGTATCAACCCCTTCTTTTATTCTGGTCCTTGCAATATCCCATAAACTCGCTGAAAAAGATAAGATAAATAAATCAAAATGCTTTGTTTATTAAATCAAATCAAATAATATAAATATAAAGTTTTACATTTAAAAATTTGCAAATTTCTATGTTTTTTTCATAGATGTTTTTAAACCTATGGATTTTGGTTGCGTTGCATAGGCGTGGCCATGTTTTTTAGGATGGGTTCGAATGCTGAAAATCACGCTTGTTGCTTCATTGAAAATGTTGCTTCATCGGTAAAAAGTATGCGGGATATAACACGACGATTATTATTTATCCATCGACAAAATTGCATACGGCTGGCATAATCTTCTGGTTGTAGGTGCTGTACACGTTGTAGGTGGTATGGATATAAACCTTGCTCGTGAAGGGTGTTAATTACTCTCGTTTGAGGAATGGCTAAATGAGTACCGATTCTTCTTGAGCTGATCCCTGGATCATCTTCTACTGAATCCAGAATATTTTGTATTTCTTGTAAACTTTGTCGGGGAGCACGTTCCGATATTATTTTATAACTAGGAAGCGTTCCGGTCTCGCATAGTTTGTTGAAAACTCTAATAAATACATTTTTATCTGGAGTTCTCCGATTTGGAAACCGTTGACGATATTCTTCAACAGCAGCTCTACCGTTTCCATTACAAAAGCCATAAACAAACACCATATTTGCATAATCACTATATGAATAAGTATGTTGGATTTTGCAACAACTTTTTTTATACAAACTGTCAAATAGACATTAAATCACGTTGACACTACACTATTATGACAGTTAACTAATTATTAAACGAATCACAGATACCTGTTACAGCAATGTGATAAGTAGCAGTAAAATTACAACTTTGTGTTATTATCGCTATAACTCGAAAACAAATGAAAATCGAATAACAACATATGAGTTATTTTTACTTATTTTTACGTATATTATACAGTCTTAAAGTTTGGTGCGTTCCTCCCCACTCACCCTGTATTTGTTAGAACAGTAAATTTTTAAAACGAGTTACTTTTGTTTATATATTAAATTATTGCGGATCATGAGAAAAATATGGAAGGTCACATATATAAAAAAATACATTCAAAATTCCGACTGACATTAAAAATTTATCATAACAACACATTACAATACCAATCGTCGCTGAAATGATACGATTTTTTAAAATTTAGTCAACTTCATATCTTTTTCTAGGTAGGGTAAGTTTGTATAAGAGTACGCATGTGTATAAGAGCACACCCCTATTATTTTTAATATATCGCCATCTATTAAAGTAATTTTTACTTGAAGACATTCTAAATACATTCCTACTGCACGGCCATAAACAGAAATTTGCATTATCGTCATTGTTTTGTCAATATGGTCGCTGCAAATAGTTCAGTCGTTCAGATTTATAATTTTGTATGTTCATAATTTAGTCAATTGAGAGGTAAGCAAACCATCAGTTTTGTATAAAATAATTTTAGACTTCATTTATATGAAATAGTGATTGCTTAAAAAAAATGGGCCGTAAATCTATTTGTTTTCGTAATAAACGCTTTAAAATCACAAAATGCATATATGTACGCAATGCGAACTCTTGGGTACTATTAAACAATTGCGAATGATATGGGAATAAATGAGGCCACGTCAAGAAAAAGATTAAAGTGTGGAAATGTACCAAAATCATTGGGACGATTTCAAAGCGATATTCCAAGCGACCTAGAAGCCGAATTAGCACAACAGAAACAAGAATTAGATCAGATGTTTTATGGAATTACAAAAAAAAATTTGCAAATAGCAGCGTATAAATTTGCTGAATCTAATAATCTTTCTCACCGTTTTAATAGAAATCTACAAATTTCTGGTGAGTCATCGGTAAGAGGATTTTGTCAGCGGAACAAAATTGCGCTTCGACTGTCAGAAAAATGTTCGATAGCCCGAATTATGGGTTTTAATAAAAATGAGGTAACAAGATTTTACGATAACCTTAAAAATCTTTATGAACTAAGGCAATACTCTCCAAGTTAGCGAGCAAGGGAAAGAAACTTGTCGGGAAGGTAGCTAGTGCAGATCGTGGACAACTTGTAACGGCTGTATGTTGCATCAACTCCACAGGTAACTATATTCCTCCAGCACTCATATTCCCCAGAAAAAGAATGAAGGAAGAACTATTTTTAAATGCACCATGTGAAACTCTGAAATTAATTTCTGAATCTGGATATGTCAACACTGATCTTTTTTAATCCATTTTAATAAGTTTGCCAAACCCAGTGCTGAAAACAAAGTTCTTTTAATTCTCGACAAACATGGATTTTGCCTCCTCCTATGTTACCGACGTAACTTTGGACAATACAGCAAGCGCGGTAGTAATAGTAGGTAGATAATACTTCAAATGGAGTCCGTGTAGAAGAAGAAAATAATGGACTTCAGCTTCCAATACCATCTAAAGTAATACCTCCTTCAAAACAGCCTGAGAATGAAGATAATCTAATCTCGTTACGCCGCCTCTGACAAGCAAAATCGACTTAAAAATTATCAAAATAGAAAAAATGCACCCTAATATAATTTTTATAAAACTTCTTATGCACAAGATACTTTTAAGACTATTGACATCAAACGAAATAATAAAGAACTTAGGAATCAAGGACAAAATAAGAAAATCCAGCTAAATCCAGCTTTAAAAAAGCTCTTTAATCGATAAAAATAAAAAGTAATATCTACTGGATCTTTGTAAGGACAATGCCATTAGACAGATTTATTGGCCATTTTACCAACATTTGCCGAAAAAAGATGAAGTACAGGAGGGACCTGAGTCCGACTCTGAATAATTGGTGTTTACTTAATTTTGTTTTAAATTACTTTAAAACAAAAGTTAGAAAATTAAATAAAGTTAATTTTATTTCAAATCCTAGAGTCACCAGACAGACCTCTATTTACAAAAAGTGGTTAATTTATGGGTTTAATATGGGCTAATAACATGGGTCTCCAATGACGGCCTCACAAGAAATCGGATCGATCATGTTCTAGTAAATGCCAGGAGGGGTAGTAACTGTCTAGACGTAAGAAGCCTAAGAGAAGATAAGGACAAGAATAGCGTAAAAAAAACACACACAAGAATACACCAACACACTTATGGTATAACGAAGTTCTACGTAATAAGAAGACAGAACAGAAATTTCAAAAGGCTATAAAAATCGCTCTAATATAGACAGAAGACTATAACAACATAGACTCGTCATGACAACAATGAAATGTATAGACAAAGAAGAACCGAGACTAGAAAACTAATGAAAAGGAAGAATAGGGAGTATCAGGAACAAATAATCAGAGATATAGAAGAAAACAGAAGGAACAAACAAGCGAGACTTCAAAGGAGTTTCAGATATCAAGACCAGGTACCAAGCAAGAACAGGAAACTTTCTTCAACACAGGAAACAAGGAAATCCTAAAAACCTGGAAGGAATACTTCTATTAACTATTGAACGACCAATCTAGCAGAAATACATCAAACATAGAGATACATACAGCTGAAATAGAAGACCAATACCCGACATACGAAGAAGTAATACAGTGAATTAAAAAACTTAAAAATAATAAGACACCAGGTAGCGATGGTATACCCGCAGAGTGCTTAAAACATGGAGGAGAAGCGTTGTACAGTTCTATATACCAGCTTTTGGCGAGAAGAAACAATGCCAGATGAATGGAAAGAAGGGGTTATTGTACCAATACACAAAAAGGAAACAAAAAGCAATGTATTAACTACCGGGGAATAACACTCCTATACACCACCTACAAAATCCTTGCAAACATCCTACTAGAAAGAACCAAAACATACACAGAAGGAATCGTTGGAGATTATCAATGCGGATTTAGACCGGGCCGCTCTACATTGACCAGATATTCACAATAAAACAGATAATGGAAAAATGCTGGGAGTTTGATCGTGAGCTTCATTAGATGTTCATAGATTTTAAACAAGCATTTGATAGAGTATGCAGGGACAGACTGTGGACAGCGATGCAGGAACTTGGCTTTTCAAAAAAAAACTAGTCAGGTTGATACGGATGTGTATGGAACGGTTACGATGTAAGGTGAGAGTTGGACAACAATACTCGGAGACATTTGAAATAAACAATGGACTAAAACAGGGAGATGCACTTTCACCACAACTCTTCAACTTAGCTCTGGAGCACATAATCAGAAGTGCAAGAATCGAAAAACCGAATACAGTATTTCATCGAGAAGGACCAAACTTACTACTGGCATTTGCAGACGATATCGATCTAATAGGAAACACACGATTAAGGATGAAGGAGCCTTTCGTGAGGTTTGAGAAGGAAGCAGAGAAGATGGGGCTCCAAATCAACGAAAACAAGACGAAATATATGTATATGAGCCGCAATAACCAAAGCAGAGACAGAATCGGTCAGAACATCACCATCGATGACTTTAACTTTGAGCGCGTTAGAGAATTCAAGTATCTTGGAGGAACAACAATAACTGAAGACAATAACGGATCACAAGAAATAAACAACAGGATTCAGGCCGGCAACAGATGTCTTTTTGCCCTCCAAAACCTTATAAAATCGAAACAACTAACAAGACGTACGAAGATACAGATCTATAAAACAATCATACGACCCGTTGTGATGTATGGAAGCGAAACGTGGACGATAACAAAGGCAAACGAAGAGAAACTATGTGTTTTGGAAAGAAAAATCCTAAGGAAGATCTTTGGCCCTGTGCTGGATGAAGCATCAGGACAATATAGGATAAGAACTAACAAAGAGCTCGAAGAACTTTACCCAGACGCCAACATCATAAAAGAAATAAAGTCCAGAAGACTCCAATGGGCAGGACACCTCAGAAGACATTCTGACGAACGAACAGTAAGACTGGTGTGGGAGAAAGTCCCAACTGGAAAGACTAACATAGCAGGAGACCTACCATAAGTATAGCTAATTTAGGTAGAAATTAAAAAAAAAATTAAATTTCAATAGTGTAACAATGTCATTAAAGTTTAAATTTCAGTT